GCTTAAGTTTAAACCAAAAAGAGGTGGTAGAAGTGGTAAGCGTAAAGATGTATCGCAAACTAGAATGCATTTTTTGCTTTTAATCAATAGGCTAAAAATGTTGTATATGTCTATGAGTTCAGCTTCTCACATGATGGGGCATAGTGAAAATAAAAGAAGTGATTGGATAATGACTCATCCATGTCATGATGAGACTTGGCAACATTTTGATCAAGTGTATCTCTAGTTTGCGTCTGACTCTAGGAATGTAAGGTTAGGGTTGTGTGCTAATGGGTTTACTCTAAATAATCATTTTAATAAACCATATTTTTGTTAGCCTAATGTGGTTACACCTTTTAATCTTCCTTTAGAAATGTGCATGAAAAATCCATATTTATTCTTCAATTGTACAATTCCTAGTCTAAAAAATCCAATGGTTAAAATTGATGTATACCTTCAACCTTTGCTTGATGAGTTGAAAGAGCTGTGGTGCGAGGGTGTAGTAACTTATGACCTATCAAGGAAACAAAATTTTAATATGAAGGTAGCAATGATGTAGACAATTAATGATTTTCCTACTTATGCAATGTTGTCTGATGGATGACTCAAGGAAAATTGGCATGCCCAATTTATTTAGAGGATACAAATGCATTTACCTTGAAATATGGAGGAACAATTTGTATGGATAGCACCCAACTTCCTTCATGTCTTGTAGGAGTATTAATGTATTGATGAGTTTAAAAATCTCTCTGTAACAAATAAGACAAACAAGACATCTAATAAAGAGGATCACTTTATTAGCTCTATGACTTTGGCTAACACTAAGGCTAATTTGATATTTGATTTTTAATTTTCTTTTAAAATCTATATTATTTAATTTATAATTGATATTTGAGATGGTGGTTTAATTGAAATTGTAGGAGTTGTTGACGAGACCACTTACGCATGGAGAGGTGTTCAAGGAGACATACACTCGTAGGAAAAACAAAACCTTGTGAGTTAATACACAATCTCAAGCCACATATGTAAGTAGGATTACTGACACTTTTATTTATTATGAAGGATTTATTAAATATTTCTTTAGGCAAATATATAATTATCTGTACTAATTTGTAAGATGACTATGTTTGAAAGCTTAAGAAGACATCTTCTCGGGACCCAAAGTTCGTTGATAAAGATGCTATGTGGTCAACGACAATGAACAACCTTTATGAAGGCCACATTTATGGCATGAGGGACTACTTTGAAGACTAGATGTCCCTTGTATTTGTTATCAGAGATGTCCCTTCTCTTGCACCTGAGGAGGTAGAGCACATGGTTCGCACTTAGGTCCATGTCTTAAATGAAAAGCTCCAGAAGAAGAATGAGAAGATGAAAGAAAATGCATGAAAGAAGAAGTGAGCTAAGAAAATAGAGAAAAAGGTGGCATCAAAGATGCAGAGGGAAATGCAGCAGCAGATGCAATAGATGAATGCTTACTTTGAGCTCGTGAGAGCAAGCAACTTCAAACCTCTTCCTACTTCTTCACCAACTCCAGTATCATCCTGTCTTTCTTCGATGTGACATTTCTCCTCATCCCCTTCCTTTACTGATAATGCTATTAAAGACAGACGTTGTTATTTTATTTTTAACATTATTTCTTTGGATTTTTATATCTTTAATTATAATAATATTTTAATTTAACATTTTTAAATAATTTTTTAATTTAATTTATATTTTTATAATTTTTATTATATTTACAAATTGTGATAATTAAAAACTAGTGAAAAATAATTATACAGATAAATAAAGGTAAAAAAAATTAAAAATAAATATCATAAATAAATTACAAATAAAAAAATTCATCTATAATATACACGTAGAAAAATTTGTCGATAAATCTATAACTTACACATAGCTTCAAAAATCTTTTTATATTTATTTAACTACGAGGAAATGACAGATAACTGCAGCCCATCTATAATGATAAAATCCACCAATTTTGGAATAAGGGTTATAAGATTCAACGTAGCATTGCATTCCTTTATCTGAAATCTTTTAAGCACATTCCCTGCGTATTTCTATTGACGGATAAAGATCCCATTCTTTAGTTGCTCCACTTCTATGTGAAGAAGTACTTCATCTTCCGTAAACTATCTTGTCATTATATCATCATTTTTAATGTATATTAAATTATCAACATATAAACTTATAATTAAAAGTTTACCTCTGGTGTTAGTTTTTACAGAAAAGTTTCTGTTCATTGGAACACTTCACAAACCCCTCCCTTAAGAAAATAAGTTTCAATGCGACTGAACCAAGCTCCAATCCTTACTATTACAATTATTGATTTAATCAGTTCTAGATTTTTACCATTGAATCTGACCCACGCTGACCCCTAAGTCACTACCATGAAATGTGGTGTACCTTCTCACCATTATTATGCACCGCTATTGGATGGTTTAGATGCATTACTTGTAAAAAAATTGTTATGGATCAGAACTTCGTTAGATGCTATTACTATAAATTTATTACTAGAGCATGTAAGATAAAGAAAATCATTACATTAGCAAAAGTAACACTTCATTTACAAACAACCTGGTTTTGAACTTTTCATTTAAAATAATGTTATTTGTAGATTTTTTTTTTTTCAGTTTTGTTACAGTTCAAGTATATATATAAAATGGAAGTCAATAAAGTAAATAATATAATAAAAAGAAATAAAAAAATTATTATTGGACCTATTTAGAAGATATTGTAAACAATTTACAAAAAAAATAATTTATAACTCTCATAAATTGTTTATAGTTTATTTTAATATTTTTTTATATATAACTTATTAAAATAAGTTATTTTCAATTTATTCTAATAAATTCTAATATTAAATTTATGATATAAATTAGTATTTTTAAAAAATTATTAAATAAATTCTTAAATAAATAACCACTCTTTATATTTGGGGGCATGACTACTCCTACCAACACATAGTCTCTTTCAAGATATTATTGTTAGAGCATTATATATCTTCATTATTACCAATTCCTAGAACTATAGATTCCATTGATCAAAAGATATGACTTGCTCAGAGCCAAATATGATTAAGTTAGTCTATTGATATACATATTATATCAAAATATTCTTCTTTATAATTATCTAATTCTATGATATCATTATACTTTTTTCAATAGTTATCTACTTTTAGATGGTCCTTTAAAGGTTATTTTCAAAATAATCAAGTCTAAGTTTGATAATTACTTACCTGTTTGGACTAAGGTGCCACAAGAAGTGAGAAATATATAGTTTGAAGAATTTAAGGTAACATATCTTAAAGTCATTGTGTTATGTAAATATTAAATCTATCAATTCTTTAACATGTAAGCAAAAATAAAATAGTTGTCAGTGTATATATATTGAGTGATTTTCTTTTTTAGAGGGAGGAGATAGTCTTGTTGAAAAATATTCAAAAAAATTTAAATTATTTATTATAATTAGCCACAAAATTTAGGAACTAAATTTAGTCACCAATTGTGACACCTATATATTAGCAAGCAAATTTGTTACTAAATATTTATTTTATTGTAGTTTAGTCACCAAAATTACAACCAAATTAGCTATCAAGAAGTCGGCAGCATAACACAGTGAAATAGTAACCAAATTAGCCACCGAAATAAGGATTGCAATTAGCCAATTAACCGCCAAAATAGCAACAAAAAAGGTGTTGACCAAGTAGAAATCAAAATTTTTTGGTTGCTAAATTTAAATTTTTATGACCAAGTGCATTTTTTGTCGCTAAAAGTATTTTTAACCAATATTTTATCAACGGATCAAAATTGGTTATTATTTCAGTTGCTAAATGTATTTTTTTTCTTGCTTACGTTATTTACACTATTATTATTGAGTATTATTGAAAAAATAACATTTAAAAATAGACTCTACATTCCACTTTTTCTAAATGCTAGTAGCCTCATGCAATGCATTATTGAGTTTGTGTAAAAGCTGATTTCATGTTGCTTTAATGCTTAATCATAATTTTGAAATAGTAATTTAGTCATACTTGTTATGCGTAACATTAAATGACATGTAAATTCTAATCTACTATAAGATTCTTAAGTATAAAATGAACGAAAACAAATTTTTCTGCTAAACACTCAATGCATCAAAATTTAAAACACCATAATAAAAAATGTTGTTTTAAAACGATAAAGCTAAATAATGATAAACCTTTTTGCTTAGCATTTAGAAATAAGATTTTTATATTTACTAGAATAAATCAATATTTAAATAAAAACTCTATTTAAAAACAAGGGACATAAATAAAAAAATTAATCAAAATTTAAATTGAAATTACACATACTATTTTATCAATTTTCTTTAAAAGAAAATAATAATTTTGATAGAATCTTAGGATATGTTTGTGAAGAGATTTTTGGAAGAGAAGGGAGATGAGGAGATTTTTTTAATTTTAAATTAAAAAAATAATATATTATTTATAATAACAAATATATTATTAATATATAAAGTTTTTAATAATATATTAATTTATATTTTCTATTTTTTTAAAATTTATTTTAAATATATTTATTTAAAATATAAATTTTTCATTCTTAATCAATTATTTTACATTTGAGTGCACTTTCCTTAAATAAATATAATTTAAATTTGTCCACCTGTATTGGTAAAACCATTAAAGGGCCAGATTAGAATAAATATATTATAACCCTTAAATTATGTATTAATTTAAAAATTGAATAGGAATACATTAACACAGTATTATCTAATATTGTCTAAGACTTGAAAGTTATTAATCTTTATACCAATTACTTTAAAAATTTATATCTAAAGTAATGTTTAGTTAGTTAATAATTTATTTTATCAGTGTATCAAAATTTAAGTTACTTTGTAAATTTATGTATAAAAAAAATTTAAAGAAGTAGACGGGATTTCTCATGAATGTAACCACAAAACACATCTACCTTCTGGATGAAGGACTATTTTGCAATTATCAGATCTAAACAGGTTAATGATTGAAGGTGTACCCCAGCATTCACCACAAGTGTACTATGTTGGAATAAAGTTGCTTCCTTGGGAGACTTGCTTTCTACCAAGTCAATGGGAGGCCTGTGATGAGAACCCAATCAACAGTTCTTCTTTAATTTGATGATATGTGAGTAATTTCTGTTCTTAACTATGATATATTAAGATATTTTTATTTATATATAGCTTTTGGGATATGCTTTGATCTTCTTGTTGTTTTTCATATCGTAGTAGACCACATCATGGCACAGTCAACACTACATTGTTCATCTTCCTTCACTTATGATGTCTTCCTTAACTTTCGAGGTGTGGATACCCGCAACAACTTCACTGGTAATCTCTACAATTCACTGTGCCAAAAGGGTATTCAAACCTTCATTGATGATGAAGGGCTTAACAAAGGAGAAGAAATCACACCTTCCCTTCTCCAAGCCATTGAAGAATCTAGGATTTTCATTTCTATTTTCTCTGAGAATTATGCATCCTCAACATATTGTTTAGATGAACTTGTCAAGATCCTTGCGTGCTCCAAGGCACAAGGACACTCTTTCATGCCAATTTTTTATGATGTGAATCCATCAGAAGTTCGGCATCAAACTGGGTCTTATGCTGATGCTATGGCCGAACACGAGGAGAGGTTCCAAGATCAGAAGGACAAGGTGCAAAAATGGAGAGAAGCTTTATCTCAAGCTGCTAACATCTCTGGTTGGCATTTCGCACTTGGGTATCCCACATTTCCCTTTAATGTTATTAATATTACCTCCTTTTTTTTTTTAATTTCCCTGATGATATATATATTTTTAATTTTTTTTCGTCCGAGTACACATAATAAAAACTTGATCAATAATATATATTTTATTTAATTGTAGTATTTAATATTATTAATACATTGAATATACATTAGACCAATTATAGCTTTTTTTCATAGAGATCTAGTTACACAATTTCTAACTTATAGTTATAAATTAAAATTTATTAAAAATCACAAATTATCTTCAATATCTTATTTTTAATTTAATGATTCTAACTCTTAATTTAACGATTTTTTTTTCATAATTTTATACATTCTTAATAAATTTTAACAAATAATTGAAAATATATTAAAAATAGTGTGTCGAAAATTGTGATGGTAACAATCTATGACGAAGGAAAACCTACGGAACAGAGACAATGATTTGCATATGAATAGTTTGGATCGATTTGATTGAACTAAACAAGACTGATGCTATAGTTTCAATTCACATGTACTTCTCTAATGTGCAGGTCACAACAACCAGAATATAAATTTATTGCCAATATCATTGAAAAAGTGTCTAAAATAATCAATCCTACACCTTTATATGTTGCTGAGAACCTAGTTGGGGTGGATACTCCATTGCTAGAAGTGACATCTCTCCTAGAACTTGGCTCTGATGATAGAGTCAACATGGTAGGCATTTATGGAATAGGAGGAGTAGGTAAATCAACAATTGCCCGTGCTGTATATAACAAAATTGCTGATCAATTTGAAGGTGTGTGCTTTCTTGGTGATCTAAGAAAAAAAGCAATTAATCATGATCTTGCACAACTTCAAGAAATACTACTTTCTGATATACTTGAAGAGGAAGATATCAAAGTGAGAGATGTTAACAGAGGAATCTCGATGATAAAAAGGAGGCTTCATAGAAAGAAAGTCCTTCTGATTCTTGATGATGTTGACAAATTGAGGCAGTTACAGGTTCTTGTAGGAGGACTTGATTGGTTTGGCCTTGGTAGCAAGATCATAATCACAACAAGAGACAAGCATTTGCTAAATACTCATGGGATTGTGAAATCGTACGAGGTTAAACAGTTAAATGATGAAAAAGCTCTTGAATTGTTTAGTTGGCATGCCTTTAAAAGGAACAAAATTGATCCAAGTTATGCAGATATGTCAAAACGTGCAATTTCTTATTTTCATGGCCTTCCTTTGGCTTTGGAGGTGATAGGTTCTCACTTGTTTGGCAAAAGTTTAGCTATATGGAAATCTGCATTAGACAAATATGAAAGAATTCTTCATAAAGATATCTGTGAAGTACTTGAAGTTAGTTATAAGGATTTGGAAGAAGATGAGAAAGAAATTTTTCTTGACATTGCTTGTTTCTTCAATTCTTGCAAAATTTCCTATGTCAAAGAAATACTACATATACGTGGTTTTCATGTGGAAAACGGTATTCAAGTGTTGATTGACAAATCTCTGATGAAGATTGATTGCAATCATTGTATTGTAATGCATGACTTGATTCAAGACATGGGCAGAGAAATTGTGAGGCGAGAATCAACATCTGAGCCTGGCAAACGCAGTAGATTATGGTTTTACGAGGATGTTGTTCATGTTTTGGAAGAAAATACGGTATGTTGGAACTTAGAAACATCTCTATGGTATACTTATATTTTTCTTCACCTTCCTTTATTGACACATTTGTGTTGTTATTGAATTAAATTAGTGAAAATTTATATATTTTGTTGAAATTTTGATTCAAAATTGAAAGGGAACTGACACAATCGAAGTCATAGTCGTTGACCTATATAAAGTCAAAGAAGTGCACTGGAATGGAATGGGTTTCAAGATGATGAAAAGCTTGAGAATTCTTATAATGGGAAATGTACACTTCTCTAAAGAACCGCAAAATCTACCATTTGAGAATGCTAGAATGGAATGGATATATGTATCCTTCTTTACCATTTGATTTTGATCCCAAGAATCTGTCGATACTTAGCCTGCCTGAAAGTTGCCCCAAATCGTTCAAATTACCCAAGGTAAGTATTCATTTAAAGGTTTTTGTTTTTCTAAAAACGTTTTTTACCTATACCGTGTATATTTGATAACACAAACTTAAAACTTATTTAAGAACATATATTTAATTATTTTTAATAAATAAATTAGTATAAACAAAACGCAAAAAGAGTTTATAGCTTATAAAAATTAGTTTATAAAAAGTTACTTTAAGTAATATTCAATTTATTGGAAGCCATACCTCAACCACTTTAGTCATTTATCACATTTTAACAAGTTACCAAACAACTCTGTTTGAATTAGCTAGTTATAAGGTAATAATCTTTCAATTATAACTTATAAGCTTTCAACTAATTTATTAACTAAAAAATGTCAACTAATTTTACCAAATAGAGCCTTGAATTGTGTCATATTTTTCGTTGAAATCTCCGTCATTAACTTTTTTTTTTGGTAGGTGTTTAAGTCGCTAAGGTTGATGAATTTTGAAGGTTGCCAGTCCTTAACTGTACTACCAAGCTTATCTGAAGCACCAAATTTGGTAGCACTATGTCTTGATTATTGCACTAATTTAGTAAGAATTAGTACATCAGTTGGATCTCTTAAGAGCTTAATGATTTTGAGTGTTCAAGGATGCACCAAGCTACAATTTTTGGTACCATGCATCAACTTGGCATCTTTAGAGTCTTTGAATTTGACGGGTTGCTCAAATCTTGAGAGCTTCCCAGAAGTATGGGGAATTATGGAGAAAATAAAAGAGATTTATTTAGATGACACTGCCATAATTGAATTGCCATTTTCAATTGGAAATCTTGTTGGGCTTCAACGATTGTTCTTGAGGCAATGCCCATTGGTCCAGCTACCAAGTAGTATCCATCAACTACCTTCACTTGAGGTAATAACAACTTATGGTTGTGGGGGATTTCAATTTTCAAAAGATAAAGAAAAAGTGAACTCAAGAGTATTTCCGAAGGCCATGATAGTTTATGATGATGAAGGTAATAATGATTTTCTTGATATGTGTTATTTCAACATATGCCCCAACAATGTCATTGAAGTAAGTCTGCTTCCAAACCTTAGGCAATCATTGTTAACTGATATGATGATAGAAAATTAGATAAAGCTAGAAAACAAAGAATCATCAATATGCTTTTTGTTCAGAAAGAAATTCCCGAGAATAGCTCTATGTTGTGCAGGAGAACCTGGCACGTATAAAGACAATATGGTGTTGGATTTCAAGCTCAGTGTACTCATCAATGACACTAAGCAATTCATATCTTCATGCAACTTCATAATTTCTAGGAAAAGAATGACCAAGGGGCAAATACTTCATTTTGAACTAAGATGCAAAGAGGAGAAGGAATTTGTAGAGTGTGAATGGAACCAAGTAAAAATTTTATGTGAGCTGGAATATCCAATACCATGTGACTCCAAAAGGGTAGCGATGGCCAACCAGGATGAGACAATAAGAATGCCAATATGGTCCTTTCTTTATGTCTATCAAGAAAACAGGGAGAATGTCACATTTCTTTCCTTTCATCAGAAATGTCAAAAAGTACCGAGAGGAATTGAAACGATAGTGGAAAAACTTGACCGGAAGTTCACGAGTTATTTTCACTATAAATTTCAATCTGCACCTTCAGAATGGTTATACCTGTAAAAGAGGGTAGGAACTCTCTTAAATGCAGAGGATACCGCATTCATTCGCTGAATATGCATTAATCATGAATATAAATGTATTTTTGCAAAACAGATACTGAAATATTGTGTAATGAAATATCAAAGAATACATTATTTGTTTTGGTTTTTTGTCCTTCTATTAACTTTATTCTGTTTTTTTATTGGAATAACTAGGTTATTTTGGTAAGGATTTTATATATTTTTTTAAGAAATTAGTAATTTTTCATTTATTTTAAATTATATTTATTTACTAATTATCCTATGAGGGGCTGCTATGTATTTCAATGGAAACCTGGATCTTTTTATTAATTTTTTTTCGTGGGCCGCGATTATTTTGGATTAGGACGATGGTTATGAAATTTTCAAAAAAAAAAAGAGATGCTTTAGTTTTTCCGTTGGGAATTTGGATTTTTTTTTTGGAGAAAAGCGTAGATTTTACTCAAAAAAAAAATACAAAATAGTCCAAAAAATGATTTATTTTGTAAGAATAAAGTGTGAATTATATTTTTTTATTATTGTTTATTTTTTATTTTTTATTTTGTTATTTTTATTTAAATTTGAAATATTAATTTTTTAAATATTTTTATTATTTTATATAAATTTTTAGATTTTTCATAAATACTTATATTTATATTTATAAAATTTTTTATCATCTTTTACTTTATAATTATAGTGTTAAGTTAAAATATTTTTTAAAGATAACATCTTTAAAAATTAACATCAATACATCTATGTAAAATTCTTAATTATTTGTCTTTTCCTCTCATTTGCAACATCGTTTCGTTGAGAATTCCATATGCTTACTCTTTCATCCATTTTAATTTGCTATTAATTGCACCTGTTAAAATTTAAGTATTCTTTTCTATTTTTACATAGAATTTTGTAGTTATTATTATAATAGAATTTTTAAATAAATAGTTTAATTAGATTTCTTTAGTATTTTATGTTTTATTAATTATTTTAAAATTTATATTATATCTATATATTTACATAAATTATTTCTTTTTATATTCAAGGTAACGATTAATGTTACACAAAATATGTTTACAATAAACATGCATATTCTGAAGTAACATTCTAATAAGAACAATAAGAAAAAGAAAAATTCCTATTATAATCTTAGTTATTTATAATAATTTGAATAGCATCCTTATAGTCATTTTCTAAAATGACATTAGATAAATTCTTGTCATTAGTTAAATGCAAATCACACCAAACAACATAAAATTTTGCATCTACCGAGGGGCTGTGGCCCATTTTATACAAGAATCCGATGATAAAAGCTCCATCAGTTTCACAAATAAGAACCTCACAAGTAGCATTCAACTCATTTAGAAGAGTTATTAACATTAATCTTCAAGCAATCCATAGGAGGCGAAATCCACTTAACAAACATAAACTCATGCAAACCCCTAGGAATCATGAATCTTGAATTGTTAAGCAATTGAACTAAGTAAGAGACATATGATATAAAATCTGAGAAACCAAAATATGAGAGAAACAAATTTTGCACTAAAAATTAAAGAATTTCTATCAAACTAGAGGAAGGTAACAATTCCAAAAATCAAGTTCCATAGAGATACAAAAATAAAGTTTTTGTTTTCATTTTTAGCTCTATTTTTGTATTATGGTGTGTATTTTGGGCGTGTAAATGGGTTCCAAAATTAAGTTGATAGATAGTGTAAGACTCGATTGAATTCACGTGTGAGATTGAATTGTTTAATAAGAGTTTCCATGTTCAAATGTATAAATTAATCTTAATTGTCGAGTTAGCAAGAAATAAAGCATTAAAGGAATCTGACAAAACTGAAGGGATTAGCATCGTCTAAGGATAGGTCAAGTCGATATCAAGTTAATTCCATAAAAAAAATAGTTAAAGATGGTTTGAAATATTCGAGTGTGTAAAGAACTTAGAACAGTAGTAAACAAAAACAAACTAAACTGGTCTGAATTGTGTTTATTAAACTTCAAACAATGACTTATTTATAAGTTTTCACAAAATAAAAAGGACAAAAACTTGCATCCCATATAGACGACTAACTACATGGTAAATTCAAAAAGAATTAAATTAAAAAATTATCTGCATTACTTTTAGGAATATACAATTTATTAATAGAATTTAAACAATTCTTAAATTAAGGGACTTTAATCTTATCAAATCATCCCTTAAACTAAGCAATGTTACTTAGTTTACTAGAAATTCATATACTCCAAGTAAGCATTTGAAGTTTTAAAATTGCTCTAACTAGAAAGTGTAACGCCTTAAATTTTGTGATATTAATTACTGTTATTGATTGATATAAATCTAAATGCATATATATGTGTATATAAGTGTCAATAAATGTTGTAAATTTGCATTGAATGCATAATGATGGTGTTCTTCTGTGTAATAAGTATTAATATATATATATATATATATATATATATATATATATATATATATGTGTGTGTGTGTGTGTGTGTGTGTGTGTGTGTGTGTGTAGATGTATAATTGATGGGATTCGACTGGTTGGGCTGAAAATGGGCTAAGTGCCTAAGTGCAGGGTGTAATTCTGGGCTATTCTCATTGTAGCAAGAGGGCCCTGGGAGGAAGGACCAAAGCTGTCGCCTTCTCACTGTAGCGAAAGACGTCTCGCTGTAGCTATAGAGCGACAGTTTGGGGTACATTTGGGGTATAATTGAATGCAATGTGGGCTGTGGACTGTGTGTAAGCATGATCATTACATGCTTGAATGGAATATGTGTGAATGGGCGTGTTAGTGCCGTTATAATGTGTTGTAAATGGTTCAGCGATATACTGGGAGTGTGAAAGATAAGGACGGTAAAAATACCTTGGAGAGGAGAGAGTGGTGGTAACATACTCTCTTTCTTACTAGACCTCTGACCACTATCTTTGCTGAGCGAACCATGACTGTCCACGTGGTATCCGTGAGGCGGGGGTAACCGACGACCATTCATGGTGTTAATATGTGATCACAGTGCTATAGTGAGTGTGGCTGGTGTGCATATGCACGAGTTTGTGTATTGTACTTATGGATGTAAAATGTTGCCGATGCAGTGAGTGCATCGGTGTTAAATTGACATGAACTGTGTGATAATGCTGCCTGTAATTGTATTTATTTAGTGTATTAGAAATGTGTTGGAGGTGAGACTCTATATTGACTGTGTGTTCTTGGGTAGTGTAGAGTACTCACCCTTACATTCATTTTTCAGGTAATCGAGACGATCAAAACCAGACTCAATGAATAGGTGGATGGAACTGCTATAGGACTTAGGATATTATTTTGAAAATTGTTGTAGTTGAATAAGTCTTGTAGCAACTGTTTAATGTAATTTGTAACCCCTTTTTTTATTTGAAATGTTTGATGAAACTTGGATTGAAAATGAAAATTTTATTATTTTAAAAATTTGTGAATTTCCTTATTTATTGAAATTAAATTAAGTTGTTACAATTTAGTATCAGAGCAGTTCATCCAAACCGGACCGGGGTATTGGGCTGAAACGTCTAAGATAAGTGTTGATTGTTTTGTTTATCTGAATTATAGTGTATAAATTGATCTAATGTGCTGGAATGTAATTGCTGACTTGTTGTAGCTAGATTGAATATGTCTGATAGAGGTAGAGGTAGAGGTAGAGGAGCTAGAGGCATCAATGACCTCATGGAACGCATGGCTCAGATTCTGGAAGTCATGGTGCATAATCAAGGCGGAGAGCCGACTGAGTATAGAGGGTTATTTGCCTTCACTAGGCATGATCCTCCAAAGTTTGAGGGTGGATTTAACACCGAAGGAGCCCAAAGGTAGGTGGCTGATGTGCAGAAGATCTTCAATGCAATGGGGTGCCGTGAGAAGAACAAGGTTGCCTATGCCACCTACTTACTGTGTGGGGAGGCTGAGGACTGGTGGAGGCTTGTCGGTCAGACCCTGCCACAGGAAGATGGCTATATCCAATGGGAAACATTTAAGACCATCTTCCTAGGGAACTACTTTCCTCAGGACCTAAGGAAGCAGAAAGCTAGGGAGTTCCTTGAACTGAAGCAAGGAAGTATGAGTGTGGGGGAATATACAGCTAAGTTCCAATAGCTGATGAAGTACTGGCCTCATTATCAGCATAGTGATGGAGAGGAGGAGTTGTGTGCTCAGTTTGAGCATGAATTGAGGCCAGACATCCGAGCTGCAGTCAGTGTGTGTCGCAATTGGGCGGTCGTAACTGTACGGCAAAAAATATTTTTAAGAAAAATCAATAGAGTCGCTACCAAGGTTTAACAAAGAAAACCTAGAAAAACATAAAATTTTGATCTTTGAAACTAAAAATGGATTCAGGAGTCCTTTACGTGCAGGGAAGCTTTTCGCACCCTACAACGTCCGTTTAAATAACGGTTACCTTAAATTAATTGTGCAAATTTATTATAATTTTGAAAAGTATTTATTTAACCCTAAAAAGAATGTTGCTGTTTTTATTTTTAAAGAAAGAATATCTATTTATTAAAAATATTAAGTTATATCTTAGAAAACAAAAAATATTTTAAAAAATTGTTTATCTCGACGGATATGATTCCGCTCCAACGTATCTCCAGGTGCAATAAAGAACTTAAAGTCACGTAGTTCTATATAAAAATTACGAAATTGGTTAGTTAAAATTAAGTTCTGTGAAAAGAAAATTTATTTTTTAAAATTAAAATAAGTTTTATAAAATTATAATGTTTAGAATACAAGATAACGTGGTTATACATTTACCCTACAAAAAACAATACGAAAGGCGAAGGGAAATCACACATCCATATTGTAAGTCGTTGTAAAAATTATGGTATTTAAAATCTAATATTTTAATTTATGAAAAATTATTTTTAATATATAATTTAATTAAAAAAATTAATATTTGAAGAAATTTAAAATAGCGTATGCTATACATAAATATCTCATGATTTATTTGTTGATCGAAGGTAATGTAAATTGCACATCTATATCGCAAAACATTTTGTTAAAATTTAGTAAAAATATTTTCTTCAAGTTGGAAATATGATTTAAAATTTTTAAATATGAAATCAATTTTAAAAATATTTAAAGAGAAGAAATTAATATATTTAAATTGATTAATAAAGATAAACGTTTATTTGAGGAAACTTAAAATATATT